TTATTATAAAAAGGGTATCGAACTTATTGAATATCGCTGGGGAAAGAGTATAGAGCTCAAAGGAGATTATGTTGAAAAATAAATACATTTTTTACAAAAATTTTGTATTTTCTTCGTTGGGTCGGGTACTTCTGGGACCACCCTCGAACAACTACAAAACAAGTTCACAACGTGTCCATCGGCTAGTGCTAAGTTAACATCTTGTCGAAAAACTTACGTAATGTGACAAAAATCACTTTTTAAGATACGTAATACCCGTGCCGATACGAAATTATTTTCCGAACATGCCACGCTTTGTATACTTGTGGTCCGCTTTCTAAAATAATCTCCGTCTTACTTCCAAACAAACGCAAGTTATTCGGGTGGACATCATACTTCAGCCTGAGCTCCTTGGTATCATTTCGCACAAAATATCCGGTAAGGGTACAAGCGCCGACTACATCAAACAAACCGCAGCATGATGAAGACGGGACGGCGAGTCAAACAATAAACTGGGTCTGAATAATATTTACATCAACTTTGCCTTATGCCCTATAACGCTTCTCCAAGTCCTCTTGGTGCCTGAAGGTCACCTAACTGCTTTCGATGATCCGAGAAGAATTATTTGTTGAACTCCATCAGTTTTGGGGTGGATGCAGGGCCGTCTTAAGGTATGTTGGGGCCCCAGGGCACACAGGAATCTATATATCAAGACAATTTAGAACTTTGCGCAGTAAAGACCTACCCCATAAATTGTGTCCCTATAGAGGGTGATTTAAGGGGTTCTTCTGTGTAACATTTTTGCCTCGAGTGCTTCATTAAAAAGGTACGGGGTGTTGGAGATTAGTAATAACAAACATTTTTTTAATATCTTCAAAACCGTCAACTGGAATGAACTAAAATTTGGTATGTGAATTTACCTAAGGATTGTCCACATTTAGAAGTCTTTATTTAAAATTAACGTGCAGCAGTGGCGGATATACAGGGGATTAGTGGCATTATTTTTTCAAATAAAAATAGTACGCCACTGTTTTTTTTCGAAACGCGCAATGTATCGAATTTTACCTTCAATTATTGTTGTGTTTTTTCCTACAGTGCACTGTTTTCGTAAAAATAAAAATAAAACAAATTAGATGAGTTTTATTTACTTCAATAAATGTTCAAAAAGACCACGATTCTGACGGATGCAACTTGAAGTAAAAGAAAACAAAAGCACCGTAAACTTGGGTTACTTTGGTCCACTTTTGAACTTTACACTGTGATAAGTTTTACACCAAATGATATTAATTTTCGTTTCCAGTCGCGTTTTATGGGTTTGTACAGGGTGTGGCAGAGAGGATGGACGTTTTTGGGATGGGTAGTACTCTCCGCCTCCGTCGACGAGAGAGGTGGGGAGGGTGCCGTTTGACTCGTGAGATCCTAGCTTCATTTTACCAGTTGTCGTTATGGAGCCTTGGGCTGTGGAGCACCGCGTTTTCGTCCGAAATAATGAGTCAGCCATCGTCGTACAGCGTGAGTTTCGTCGCCACTTCAGCATTCATCGGAATAGAGCTGTTCCCTCTCGAAACACCATCCTTCTTTGGGTTGAATCACTTCGCAGGCGTGGTGAACTGAGAGAGACCAAGAGGAGCGCCGCGAACAGTTCGAACTCCTGAAAATATTGAACGCGTTCGACAGGACTTTCTTCGCAGTCCGACTCGATCTGCCCGGAAACATGCTGCTGCACTTCGCCTTAGTGATCGTTCGGTAAGGCGAATTTTGCATATGGATCTCCGCTTTCACCCCTACAAATTGGCCATTGTGCAACAGTTACAGCCCGGAGATTATGCACAACGAATGAACTTCGCACGTGAGATGGAAGCACTGATTGATCAAAATGAGAACCTCATTTTGTTTATGAGTGACGAAGCCCACTTTCACCTAAACAGCATGGTTAACCAGCTCTGCATCAACGATTTTGGCCACCACATGCCTGATGTGATTTTTCACACTTGACTGTCTCAAATGCTATTTCCTTGTGAACCTGATTACATCAATAAATTTGTTTTCGAGTAGAAATTAACTATTTTATGTTTTTTTTAAAACCGTCCATACTCTCTGCCGCACCCTGAATTAGTACTTTGAACTTTGAAATGGAGAAGGAACTAAACACTTTCTAAATATATATTTTTTTAAAAAACCTGGGTGGCCAAAGTCAAATGACGAAGTTGGGTTACTTTGGCCACATGTTGTTTTATTTAGAAAACGCTAATACACGGGTTAGTTTGGCGATGAAAAAAATAGCTAAATATGTTTGAAGTATTTTTTGAGGGTTTCTAAATAAAAAATACTTATGACATACATTTGTTTGTTTTGTTTATAAAATTTGTAAACAGATGTAAAAAAAGTGTTTTAAGCTTGATTTGAACGCAAATAAGGTAGGTAACAAATCCTTTGACAAAATTTAAAAAAACACAAATTCTTTGGTAAAATTAAAAATAGACACACAGATTCTTTGGTAAAATTAAAAAAAACACAAATTCTTTCGAATGGAAATTAATAATAAAAATAACACGGTTAACCTAAATTATAATTTTCCACTTATGGAATTTTAAAGAAACCTCTTTTGGACGGAATAGATGTCTGGTTGACCTGTAAAATATCTTCCTCCTCGTACCAGATTATGTCATCTTTACTCGGTCACTTCCACTGCAACAATCCACTAGGTGTTAAGGATTTTATTTTGTATTGCTTTTCATCTTCTTTTATTTCAATAACTTGCCCAGGATAAATATGTTTTTCATACAGGGTGTCCCAGAAGTCGACGTCAAGCCGAAACCGGGTGATAGGCAAAGTCATAACAGCTATCTGAAAAATATTTAAAAAAATTTTATGTATGTGTTTTGAAAATTATAGGTCTTTGACAAAGATATAGAAATTTCACACCCTACGGCAGTCTGTCAACTCCTGTTACTACAAATATTAACTTTTTTTGGATTTTATTTTTACAATGTAATGATAAATAATGCATCTTCAAACTGGTGTCTCAACCTTACTGCCAACTTTTCTCGTTCAGGAAAAATTGCCACTTATTTCCCAACCAAGTATTCCAAAGTAAAACTTTGCTCAACTTTAACTGGCTGTATTGGAAAAAATGTACTACGAGAGTTTGGCAAGTAACCTTAAAAGTTGGCGCATTTAATAACGATTCCAAAATGGTATAACACTTAGAAGATTACTCGTTAACTTATGCACAATTTTTATTTGAAAAAAAACTGATGAAAATTTTTCAAAATTTCCTAATTAAACAGCGATTGTGAAAAGGCACAAGGACCCTTAAGTAAAGCTGTTTGCACAACAGTGGGCGTCAAAATGCTGCTGATGATGATTTACCTTTACAACAAATGCTCAAACTGTTTTCCTTCAGCCGCAATACACGCTCGACATCTTCTTAAAAAAGATCGGGTTATTAAACGAGCGAATCCACCGTTATTAACAAACTCAGCTGCTTCCAATAGTCTTTGCCATAGCTCGGCTACATTTTGAATCGGCTTGAAATACACTTTTTTTTACAGTTTCCCAGTAAAAAAATCTAAAGGATTCAAATCAGGTGATCGGGCTGGCCACGGTATTGTACCAGACCGCCTTATCCATCTGCCTGGAAAGTTTTGATCGAGATACTCTCTCACTGAGAGTGCATAGTGCGCTGGGCAGCCATCGTGCTGAAACCACATGTCCCTGTAAATACTCAGTGGCACGTCCACCAATAAATTTTGTACATGATTTTTCAAAAAATCCAAATAAACTTCAACAGTCAAAGTCTCTGGGAACTCAAACGGACCGATTATTTTACCATTTAAAATTCCTGTCCAATGGTTTATCTTGAAGCGATATTGAGATTTATCTTCTCTCATCAAATGTGGGTTTGCTACGTGCCACTCATGTAAGTTATGCAGGTTCATGTACCTATCTTTCTTAAATGTGGTCTCATCCGACCATAAAATTTTTTCAAAGAACTGTGGATCTTTCCTGTGTCTTTCTAACATTGTGCGACAAAAAGCAACTCGAGGCTCATAATCCCGGGGCAGGAGAGGTTGAACACGCTGTATGTGGTATGGATGAAGCACATCACGCTAGTGCTGCAGCGAGACTTTACTGTGAGAGGTACCCGAATGCAGCTCGTCATCCAGATCATCGAGTGTTCGCAAATGTGCATCGCTTACTGTTCTCAGAGAGCCAACTACCAAACCAATCATACGGTGATGGAAGATCTTTCCTTCCTTACGAAGACGTGGTGCTAGGAGCTGTCGCAGAAGACCCGAGTACTTCAGTGCGTGCAATAGAACTAAAAACAGGTGTGCCCAAAAGTACAGCCCATAGAATCTTGCAAAAAAACGTGCTCCCTCCATACCACGTTCAAGGTCTTCTGCCCCGAGATTATGAGCCCCGCTTTTTGTCGCACAATGTTAGAAAGACACAGGGAAGATCCACGGTTCATTGAAAAAATTTTATGGTCAGATGAGACCACATTTAAGAAAGATGGGTACATGAACCTGCATAACTTACACGAGTGGCACGTAGCAAACCCACAATTTTTCCTGAACGAGAAAAGTTGGCAGTAAGGTTGAGACACCAGTTTGAAGATGCATTATTTATCATTACATTGTAAAAATAAAATCCAAAAAAAGTTAATATTTGTAGTAACAGGAGTTGACAGACTGCTGTAGGGTGTGAAATTTCTATATTTTTTTCAAAGACCTATAATTTTCAAAACACATACATACAATTTTTTAAATATTTTTCTGGTAGCTGTTATGACTTTGCCTATCACCCGGTTTCGGCTTGACGTCGACTTCTGGAACACCCTGTATAAAAATAGGACAAACTGCCCAATTTGTATTTCATTCCTTCCTTTGCATGTGTTGCTTTCGCTTGTATTTTCTTGTATGAATTTAGTCTAACTTTCAATGTCATCGTCAGGCTCTCCCTCCGATTGAAGTGACATAGCAACAGACCTTTCGGAATCACTAGAAATTGTTGTTCTAGTTTTTTTTGTTGCGGTTTACAATGTTTTGTTTAACACCACTGGGTCCTGCAACTGGTTCGTTTTGCAAATCTAGGATTGAAATGCTCCTTATGTTGAGCTTTTTTTTCCTTGTAGTTTGTTCTGCTGCACCGGAAAATCTTCTTTCTTCAAGTAGTTCGACGGCAGCGGCACTAACATTTGTGTGGGCATCGGAATCGATATTATCATTTGATGGTATTCGCTCCAATATTTTCATTCGGTTTAGAGGGTGAATTCCTGCCTTTTCGAAACCGATTATTAAATTATCTTTTCCTGATGTAATAATAAGTCTGTCACTCATTTAAGCAAATGCGGAAAATCTGATTTTGGAATTGTTTTATTTGTTTTTAATCCGTTATGATTTGCCTCCATTTCATTGTAAGCGGCCGAAAATATGCAATAGGAAGTGGCTGACTGAGATGTGTCGTGTTAGGTGGTAAACAAATGAATTTTATGTCATATTGGGAACATAGGTTCATGACATGCACATTTAGATGCGAAGAGAGGTTCGCCAATCAGCACTTTTGGTCCATCTAAACGCTTTAAAGCACGAAGAACTAACTGTTCAAACCAGTCTTCGAAGTTGAGTTCCTGCCTGAAGATGTATTAATGCACCTGCGAAATCTGAAGACCTCTTCCTCCCCTGGTAAAGATGGGATGACGGCTGCTGTACTTAAAAACTGCGCTTCAGCACTGGCCCTACCATTAAGCTTGATATTCACATCGTCTTTTAGATCTCATACCCTACCCTCATGCTGGCTTAGTGCTTCTGTTACCCCTGTATTCAAAAAGGGCGACAAATCCTCCGCTAAAAATTATCGACCAATAAGTCTAGTTCATATCGCCGCCAAAATAGCTGAAAGAATCATATTATATAAGCTCCTGTCATTTGCTTTCGAAAATGACCTTATCCCTAAGAATCAGCATGAGAAATCCATGATCATCCTGGTCGATCAATAATGACCAACCTTCTCCACTCTCTCAACGATTGGACTCAGTATCTGGACACAAATACTCCTGTTGATATAATCTACTTAGATTTTTCTAGGGCTTTCGATCGCGTACCACATAGAAGGCTTCTGTTTAAGTTAGAATGTATGGGAATAAGAGGCGAGTTGTTACTGTGGATTAAGGCGTTTCTCACCGGGAGGACTTTCTCTGTGCACGTCAGTGATAGCCAGTCTCACCTTCATCATGTAGCAAGTGGAAGTTCCTCAAGGCTCTGTCTTGGGGCCAGTGCTGTTCCTTCTGTATACAAGTGACCTGCCCGCATTGATTTCCTCCACATGTTCAGCTTATGCCGACGACACCAAGATTTACAATACTGTCGTAAAATCTGCTATGCTTCAACGAGATCTTGATATTGTTTGTCAATGGTCAGTCAGTTGGCCTGTACCCTTAAATCTAACTAAGTGTTGTGTCCTTCACCTCGGGAAGACAAATCCGCGATTTACATACAAGATCTCTGACCACAACATCGAAGCAGTTTCCAGCCACACTGATCTGGGCGTTGTAGTCAACGATCGTCTTTCCTGGTCAGAGCATATTCACCACGTTACATCAAAAGCCAAGAAACTTCTATACATGCTGGAGAGGTCTTTCAAAAGATCCGATGTCAACACTTGCGCCTACATTTACAAGGCATTCGTGAGGCCAATTCTTGAATTCGCTGGCCCGGTATGGGACACTGTGCTTCTGCGCGATAGAAATCTCGTCGAATCAGTACAGCGTCGGGCTACTCGTATCCCTTTTGGAGCACGAAGACCAAGCTATGAAGATCGCCTTGAATTATTCAACCTGACCTCATTCTCTGAGCGAAGACTTCGTGGCGATCTTATAGTTACGTTCAGGATACTTCATGGTTTGATGGGCACCAACCTCATGCATCTATACCGTCTGTCGCGCAGCAATCTACGCGGACACAGCTTCAAACTGCATAAGGAGCCATTTAAAACAACAGTCCGACAGTGGTTTCTTCCCAACCGCATATTCAACACCTGGAATAGTTTACCTGAAAGTGTGGTTGGTGCTACTTCAGTTAATAGCTTCAAAGTGCAGTATGATAGCTGGAGGAGTGTACAAACTTTATAGCTATGAACTGTCTTTTTTTATTTTTTTCTATTTGATGTATTTGTGTTACGTGTCCGTACACTATATTTACTGCATGAGCTTATAGTACTGTGTACTCTGCTCATCTCAATTATCATAATAATAATAATAATAATAATAATAATAATATGGCCCTCAAGCCCACCGCTTTTTGAATGATTATAACGTGTTCCATCTGGTCCTGCCTCCATCCAGGTATCATACATATTTTTTTCCTTATAAACAACATAAGGTGGAAAAACTGTGCCTACAGCATTTCCACAAAACATTACACTTGTAGATTGTTTGGACGAGTTCACGATGCGCTCAGGATATTTGCAGCCCCGTTTTGTTAAAGCTTTTTTTATTATATTTGTCGGTGAAATCCGCCTTAATTCCTCTTCTAGGTGGTCAAAGTATTTATTAATAACGGGAGATGAAACGCCAGCCCGAACGGATTTTGTATTTGCAACAAACCTTTGTGTCCCTGCTGGATGTCTTTTTAAAAATAGTCTTACCCATTCACTACCAGAAAGATTATTTGTAAATCAGCTTATAACTACACCCTTTTGATCTAGATAGCACTTCACAAGTTTTGTTAAATCTAGGGAACCTAGAGGAAAACCACATGACGATGTTAATATTAGATTTGCTTCGTTTTTTTTTCTTCCTCCACTGACAACACGGCTCGTCACCTGCACGTCTATTGTGCACTCCCTTCAGCTTATTCTGCAATGTCGCTCGAGGTATTTTGATCATTGTCATTGTGATATTACACCCGATCTAATCAGTCGAAGTGCCTCTTCTAGCTGTGCTGTGGTATAATTGCTGTAATTCCTGCTTCCTATGATTCTTTTGTAGCGACCCATTTTCCCTAGAAATGAATGCGACCTGCTAAGTTTATCACGAGAAAAAACACACTTGTTACCGGTCGAAAACAACGCAAACATGTGATGGAGCAGATGGACAAAGTCAGATCAATACTAACGAATAATGTATTGGGCGACTTTGGCCGCCCTCTAGCGGCAACCCCTGAAAGTTCAAGTTTGCTCACTTGGCTCATAAAGTTTCCTAAAGGTTGTATGATAGTATATTTTTGCATGAAAGTCATAGATTTCGCCTCATTGTCAAGCTGCGCATAAACTTTTTTGACGTAAAAAAATCAGGTTTTTTATAAATTTTCCTATTTAATTTTTTCAAATACCTCAAATCAAATTATATTACGTATACATTTGTTTCGAGTCCATTATAATCTATAGAATCATTAAAAAATGCTATTCCGCGCTTAAGTATTATTATAACGTAATCGCGCGTAAAAAAAAAAATTAAAATCTCCTAATCATTTCAAAAACCTACAAACCTTCAAATTATTTCCATATTTTCCGATCATTTTCCAAATTTTCAAATCCATTTTTTCGAATCTCAAAATTCAATGTTTTTTAAATTTTCGATTTTTTCCTAGATTACTTTATTGTCATTGGCTCTTGAGCCCTCTGCAAATTTTCAAGTTAATTAGGCTTCTTGAAATTGATAAAATTTGAAAGATTGTAACCTAATAGCTGAACAACAACTAGTATATAGTCAACGCCAAACAAAGTGGCGTGCACGTCATCAAGGTGGGTGTGTTGAAAAATTTACATTGTTGCCAAACTTTTTGCAAAATAATAAAATTTATTATTTACATATCTAGGTTTATAAGCAATATTAACCTCAAATGAGAACAAAAATAATAGTATAATAAAATTATAGATCTGTACTTGCATAATCATTAAGTATGACAATTATTGATCAGATGACACTATGAAACTACCATATTTAATTGATAGCTTAAAGGTACTGAATAAAAATCCAAATGGGGTCCTCCAAATTTTATGCATGGTATTTATTTTACAGAATTCATACAGAAAAATGCATTCTAAAATTAGGTAAGCTACTGGTGTAAGCTTTTTCTGTACAATAAAGTTAGTCGGAGTTTCTTTCTTCAGCGCTGTCTGAATCTGAATCTTCATCACTCTCAAAGTTGATTATTAAAGGTTCGATGTCTGGTCGATCAAAAATTCGTTCTCTTTCATACCATTTAAAAATTTCTTGCTCAGTATGTCGAACACTATTTTTCCACATGTCTGGGGTAACCGTTTGTAGAGCCTCGTTCCACATATCCAAACAGTCTTTTTCACTGTTACCATCTCTACCAATATGTCTGTTATAGTAACCTTTTGCTATGCCCCAAATTAACTCAATAGGGTTAAATATACAATGGTAAGGAGGCAGACGAAGAACTTTGTGCCCATGTTGTTCCGCCAATTCATCAATCACGTATATTTTAGGTGGTTTGTTTCTAAAAAAGCAGTTATTTTAACAATAGGAATAAACAAAAGAAATATAAACTGTCGACCAAAATATATATAATTAAGAAGCATTATGTACCGAGCAACAATACTCAATAGCTCTGTTTTAAACATTGTGTTTAAAAATGGTATGTTTTGATTTGTCAACCAGTCTTGGATATTTTTTTTTTGTCCATGCATTGTTGGGCACTTTGTTCAATATCATGCTGTGATAAGGGGCGTTATCCAGTATAATCATAGATGGACTCTCCAATTTTTCTAATAACTGATGTTGAAACCATTTCAAAAAATTGTCCTGGTTCATCTCTCCATGGTAATCGCTCAATTTTGTTTTCGAAGAAAATATCGCTTCACTACCCTCAATAAACCCATTTTCATTTCCAGCATGTAATATAATGTATCTAAAATATATTAGTTTTAAATTTTATAGTGCAAATTGTGTAAAAGTACATACCTTTTACCATCTGTTTTAATAGCTTTCACGCTTTTTTGGTTTCCATTTTGCCAAGAGCGACCTATGGTCCCATTTTGAAATATCCAAGTTTCATCGAGGAAGACAAACTGGTATAAGGCCTCAACCTTGGCTTGATTGTATTGCCTTAGAAAGTCCACCCTTTTCAAAGCTATACTTGGTAGTTCCATGAGCCCTCGTCGCGGATTGTCCTTAAGCCACTTAAATCCAAGATCTCTAAGCAACCGCCTTAAAGACGTGGCACTACCATCAAATAATGCCCTATCTCTTAATCGAGACCATAAAGTTTGTATCGTAACTTGTTCTTCT